AAAAAAGACCTCAGGGAGGTTGAAATTACATGTTGAAAACCTAAAGCATCTAGTTCATGCATAAGCAGGGTGACGTGGCAGAGCAGGGAGAGTCTCTTCATTTCTCTTGCTTGTTCTAAAGGAGATAAATAGCTCAAGCTCCAGCCTGAGGGAGGTGGAGAGTGAGTCACCCTATCCCTCCCGACTATCCAGTCCCCTTCTGTCCCTCTCTCACTTCCCAGGGATGCAAACTAAGGAGAGAGCAGGATCCAAAGTAAGTCTGCGGTAAATCCAACCGGAGCTGGCCATCCAAGTTCTTCATCTCTTAGAAAGAACTGGAAATTGGGAAGATTTTCCCTGGCCTCACTAGCACAGAAAAAAAAATAAAATTGGTAATGAAGCAGAAGCACCGTGTCAATTGCTTCAAGTTCGCTCACATTTAACATTTCACACACCATTTACACTTCCCTTCTCACCAGAGAGGGAGGGGAAAAGGGAAGAGAGGGAATGACAGAGAAAGGCCCTTCAAGGAGAGCCAGCCGTCCTGTTCCACCCCAAAGGGCACCACTGCCAGTATTTTATCTTCAAAGTGCCCCATGGCATTGAAAATATCCCTTGAGAGCCCTCCCTAATTCCCAAACCAGTGCCAGACAAACAGGCCCGGAAAGAAACCTGCCAAATGTCAAGAGAGAGGATTATGTTCAGATTGTATTGGACACTGACTTGTGACTGGGCCCAGGAAAGACAGTGCTATTCATGGGAGCCCAGCACCCTTATCTTAGACTGTCAGAGGTTTCACACAGGAAGATAATTAAGGTCAAATCACTTACTGGTGGTTTGAATGGGGAAAAATAGGGGGCTTTTTAATGAATATTTTCTAGTGGCATTTTTAATGTACAGAGAGGAAGGAAGCAAGTTCTAGCAGGAGAAAGCTAGAAATGGGAACTGAGCTGTGGCATCTTTGTTTTCTCCTGGGACTATGTACCGTCAGGTACATGCCGAGAAATCTCAGCAAAATCTTCCAGGGAGCGCAGCGTTCTCCCCTTCTGACAGTTACAACAGAGGTGAGCGGATTGCTCTGCGATAAAAGCCACTCGGTTGCACTGTCTGTCCAGCAAGCGGAAAACCAGGTCCAAGGCAGCCATCTAGCTGCAAGGTCAGATCACACTGACTTGACGTTTCGAGTAACTTGTTTAAAACAATGCATTTATCCATGACGCCCAATGTCAACTTCTGAATGATTGCTTTTGTACAGCTAAGCTGGAAAATGTGGGCTATGACAGACTGAAGCAGAAAAGGAACAAATTTGCATGTTACGTGGGTGGAAGAGCCCTTTGGTTGTTGGAGAGGCCCAATGACGCTGTCAAGGGCTGGCAGACAGCGCACCCGCGACGCACCAGATCTGTGCTCCCGCTGGCTGACAGCACGCAGCTTAGAGTCGGCACCGGATCAAAGAGTTGGGACTATCACAAGTAAAAATGTTAAAAACACAAAGCAGCCTGCATCTTGATAAGAGGACATCGCTGCGGAGAGAAATGAACAGAAGGAAAGAAAACGACCTTGAGTCTATAAAATGTTACAAGCCTCAGGATTGTAAAATGCCTGAAATGAAAAGAAAATGTGCTGATCAAATAAGAGTTTCAGAGCTGAAAAGCTTGAGAGCTGCGCGCTTACCACAATCGAAGCAGAAAAGAGGTTCAACAGATAACTGCACAGATTCTTATTTAGATTGCATTTCCGTTTTCAAGGCTGATCATTTGCTGGCGTAAAGAGGTCTGTGACTTAAAGCACTAATAATGCACGTGTGCATTGTAGCCGAGCATGCCTCTTTGGTATGAAATGCAAGGCTTTGAAATAAGAATATGTATATATTTTTAATATGTCTTTATTGATTTCAGAGAGAGGAAGTGAGAGAGAGAGAGAGAGAAACATCAATGATGAGAGAGTCATTGATCCGCTGCTCCCTGCACACCTCCGACTGGGGATTGAGCCCACAACTCGGGCATGTGCTCTGACAGGAATCGAACCGTGATCTCCTGGATCATAGGTCAGTGCTCAACCACTGAGCCGCACCAGCTAGGGGAATTTTTTTTTTTTATAAGAAAAAACACTGATTAGTGGCAATAGTCAGACAAAACTTGCATTTTAAAGAAGCAAATAAAAGTATCAAAGATGAGACATTAAGTAGAAACAAATAACAAATTTGCTGTTTTGGAAATTAAGTTTTCAGCAAAGCATTCCATATAGTAACATATTTATCAATTGAGAGTAAATGAATGATTCTCCTGCAGGGAAGACTGCTTCTTCTGGCAGCATTCTAAGTGCATCCAATCTGACTGACTCCCCCAAACAGTTTTTTGTTTATTTGTTTCCTTTTTTCTGCTCTCCATAAGAACAGCTACTGTCACCATGCCTGGAATCCCCATTCAGGGAGAACCAGAGAAAGAGGACAACAGGTAGAGCCAGCTGGAGCATTTGAGCCCCAATTTCTTCACTTAAGCAAAACTTCTCAAAATAAGCAAATAAATGCCCTGCTCCTGCTTTTCCACCTTAACCTTTACCTGGGTGCACCTACTAGAAGGAAAAGCTTTACACACACTAGCTAGACACCGTGTTTTCTTTATTATTTGAGTCCCTTTTTCAATCACCTAACATAAGCCACTGTGGGCGCTCAGATAAATATTTGCTTTTGGTGCCATCAGGCCAATAGTCCTGTTGTGAACAGTGAATTTCCCAGAGTGAAGGACGCTATCTGACATGCACGCCCACACCCATATTCAGGTATTTATAACTGGTTTCAATTCACTCATCCAGTATTTTTTCTAAAAACTTTTTGAAAATTTACCAGCTTCCCAATAACAGTTTTAATAGGAAAAAAAAATCTTCCCAATCTCCAGCTGCAGTAGGATCATATAAATAATATTTAACTAAATTATACCCTGTGTGTTTTTGACAAGCATAAAAGAGTTTTGCCCAGCAGCCTGAAATGTTCCCCCAAATTTTTATGGCTTGCTGATGAACATTTAACATTTCCTAATATATTAAAAAGGAAATTCTAAGAGCCTTAATTATATAGTGACTTTACCTGCACAGAAAATTATTTCCTTCTAAGCAGTGTGCTTTATTTGTTCTGATTTCTGGATTCGTGGCAAATCTTCCAGCATTTCTTGTTTTTTTTCTCTGACCCAGGCAATGAACCACAGTAGAGAAAAGTAGCCGTAAGAAGCTGACCAGATTGTGCAATGTTCTAATAAAACACAAGGGGGCAGGTTTTGCTTTATTGTGAGCCCAGTGCAGCTGCGCTGTTAATCCTGAAGGTCACTGTGCTAATTACATGTTCAGAGCCGCTCAATAACAGGCACACTGAAGGAGTAATCAGAGTGTGTGCTCTGGCAGGAAACCTCCGGTATTTTAATAAAGAAAAACAAGTTTAAGCGTTTATTTACAACACAGAACAATTATACTTGGGAGACACTGTGATAGTTTTAGCTTATGTTTATAAACCTGCAAAGGAGCAGAGAGTGGCTAGAAGAAGAAAGGACCAAATTCAGTCATATTATGCCTTGAATAAAGGGGGCTAATGATTTCTGCCAAATAGATATGGTCTTGGTGAAAATAGATAGAATATACCAGCCTTGAATAGGAACCTTATGCTTTTGTTTGCTTTGTTTACTTTTAGAAATCTTTAACGTATCTAATTGACTCACAATTTTCTTATGTGTTGTTTTCAAGATTTCATTAAACTACCTGCAAAACAAAGCTTTTAAGATGTCAGGTAGTGGAGAGCCCTAAAATGACACTGTGAGGTCCCAACTTCCTATCTTTGTCCCTAGAAATGGTAGAAATAAGGCCTACCAATAGTGGGGACTTAGCCACTTTCTATACCCAAAAAGAAAGTACAACTAAAAAGTGTACATTGTATTAGGTTGTTTGAAGTAAAATTTTACCTACCATATGCCCAACTCAGAATCTGAAATATAGGTTATTTCATGTTCAAGTTCTACTTTGAGCTTATTCACGTGAAAATATTGAGTATTCTTGATGAGCGAGGCACCATAGAAACAGGAAAAGTTCAGCCTGGGGTTTTGCGGTTGCACTGAGACAGTGATAATCTCCCAGTGCGAGGTGCATTGCCTGTGTCAATTAACTACCAACATTTTCTGAGCACTTAAAGTGCTTTGATACCATGGCATTGGAGCTGTACAGAAAGGTGTACAACCTGACCTCTAGAAGCTTCAAGTCTAGATGTAGAAGCAAACAGGATATAACCATTACTTCACTGGCTCTGACTTTCTTCTTCTGGGATCTCCAACAAGGTGATTGACCTAGAAGGCTTTCCAAGAGGCTCAGTGAGTTAGCTGCGTCAGGGCGGCCCCTTGCTGGTCAGTGACTTGAAGTGGCCACCCTACCACACTCCCACCCCCGGATCAGTCTTCAGACTGTCAGGACATCAATAGTAACTCCTCACCTGGGGAAAGGGTGGTGTTTAATTTTCCTACCTACGTAATAGAGAGCCAGGAAGTAGCAATGTCTTAGAAACCCAAAAAAGTAGAAACACCAGTTGAAGAACTTACTTTCCAAAATGAAGTAGCTATTATGTATTTTATATTTATTTTCAAAAGTGAACTAGTTATTATGTATTAATAATTCCCAAAAATGTATACACACACTTTGAATAATTATTTTTTTTGAATAATTATAAAGGCAATGTTTATTAAAAATATATTTTATTTTCAAAATTGAGCTATTAGCTGTTAAAGTGTGTATACATTTTTTGGGGACACCCTAAAATACAGTTTGATAGATGATAATGATAGATAGATGATAGATGATAGATAGATAGATAGATAGATAGATAGATAGATAGATAGATAGATAGATATAGATAGATGATGATAGATAGCTGATAGATAGATAGATAGATAGATAGATAGATAGATAGATAGATAGATAGATAGATAGATAGATGATAGATAGGAATTGATGCTCACAAATTAAAAAACAATAGCCCTCAACAGATGAACAATAATCTGCAAAACAACATTTATTTTTATTTTCTTCTTTACTAAGTTTTCTACTTCTTGTAAAATTAGTTGTTAGGATTATTATAATTAACAATGTTAAATTCTAAGCAAGACACAAACTAATGTTAAAGAATTTTAGAATTAGAGGAGAAATTAATTCACAAAAGAAAGATGTTATTGGATTTCATCTTACTTCTATATTAGATTTATAAAAACATTTCTTTTGAAATCATAATTCATATACATATAATTTTTCTAACACTAAGGATATAGCATATAAAATTACCTACTCAATTTCAAGGTTGAATTTGTTTCCCCTATCATTGAGAAGTACAGCCCTACAGTGCTTGGTGATATTTTCTGAGTTTTATTTGCATAATATTCAATGTACGTAAATACTAACTTTTTTATTCTACAGGTTTGTTCTACCTTTAAATTTGTTAAAAGGCATTCATCATTGATTTATTGTAATATTAGAAAATTTTATTCCTCTTATATGAACTATAAAATTAGGAAATTATTTCTTTCAGGAAAACATTATAAAATACAACATTTATAATAAGGTTCAGCACTACAGATAAAAGTAGCTAAGTATAAATGACTACTCTTTACTTCTACCTCAGATAGATCTTGCTTTAATCAAATCTTAGGAGAACATGATGTATGAAAATTCTGATATACCTGAAATAGAAGCTAGAGGTGGTTATTTGCTTTATAGGATTATTCATAATAGTTCACCTATAAAAACTAATTTCCCCTGGTGATTTAATGTATAATTGATTTATACACAACTTTTCAGGAACATCCTACCACACACAACTATATCTTCATTTTAATATAGATCTCATTTGGTTTGAAAATTGGATGTAAGAATGTGTTCTACAACAGCCCTGAGTCAAGAGCATAAACTGTAAAAGTGGAGCATGTTAATGAAACATTGTTGAATTTTCTATGAGCACTGTTAAAGGCAGGAATTCAGATGTAGCTGTGGCTAAAAAAAGTCCCAGCAGGGGTTCCCCCCATGAAGAATTCTGGGCTACCTTGATTCTTACTCTCAAATATACCTGTATCTTTATGAGACTCAAATTCAGTTCAGACTGGGCCTTGTCCATTTCCCTGGCTTTCTCAGTTCTATTCCAGTGAGCAACACTGGGTGTTGGTGAATCTTGCACCTTCTAGGCCCCCGTAAGTAGAAGGCAGCTCCAGGGTCCTCTTAACACCCACTCTTTACACACATCCATTCCAGAGAGGGGCTGAAATGAGCACACAGACAGGCCACCCTCTAGAACTTTGGCCTCACCCCAGATGCACAGATACCAGATATGAGCAGATGAAATCTTAAGAGCTGTTAACTTCTGCTCAGAAGTGGGATCATATTGCTAAGTCTAAACATCTTAGTAAAAAATGCCTCATTCTTCTCTCTCATGATCTGATGATTACTTAGTGGGACATAACCATTTAATTCTGAAGTGTTATATTTTGTATACATGGTTTGCTTTAAATGATAAGACTTAATTGATTAGCATTCAATAAGTAACTGTCAGTACAGTGCAGCATTAGTGAATCCAAAGTCAACTCTTTAAAACAAGCCAAATGCATTTTAAGTGAAAAATTTTCCATATGAGGCTACCTAGCAAAGGAATTTGGTTCAGGGTCAGTCAAACGAGACCTCAGAGCAATGGAGCTCAGATCAAACTGTTTTCATCGTCAGGATTATAGCCTCAGCAGCCTTCTTCAGTCAGCCTTTCCCGGAAAGAGGGATTCTATTCTTGATAATATGTTGAAACTGCATATTAGTTAACTAGAAAGCTCTATAATTTAATCCCGCACCCACTTATTTATCACTGTAGAATTCGTTTATCCAGCTATTGAATCTCGTGATATATCTACTGTTAAGAACTTCAGACTTTTGATAAGTTTAGCAAAGTCTAATTTATAAAAGAACCAAATTGCTCATTCACTCATTCATTTATTCTCTATCCTACTTGGGAAATAAGGCATATTTTCATCCTCATGACCATTTTAAAGGCTGAAGAGGAAAAGACAGAAAAAAGAAAAGGAAGCCTCAAAAAGATAATCAGAAAGGCCCCTAAAAGCATAGGTATTTATAGCTGAAAGGGAGCTTAGAGACCATTGAAGCGCCTGCCGGCCTACCCCCACCCCATTACAAATGGAGGCACTTGAGCTAAGAAAGACTGAACCATAATCTTATTCAAGTCACAAATTACATTAACATGCAAATTACAATGAATCCACACTATCAACTTTTATATATATATATTCTCAAAACATGAGGAGACTTAATCAATATGGGGAACTATTATGAGATACCATTAATCTTAGCTCTACCTTTGTTTGAGGGTAGAGATGGCCTCAAGCACGTCAGCTTGAGTCTGTTACACACAAAAAGCAAACCAGAAACTACAGCAAAGCATCTGTATCTGGGATCATCACCACAATGGAATGAGCTGTGCCAAAGACCGTCAGCGAAAGGAAGAACAGGGAGGGTTAGTTTGTCGTCAGGCTCCCACCACAGCTTGGCTGGCCTCTTCTCTAGGGTAAGGCGTGAGCACCGTAGGCTTCTTCTGTGTATCTTTTGTTGTTTAAATGTGTCTCCATTAAGGGTGCATATCCTTTGCGAAGTCTTCTGTACTGAAGGAAAGCCAGCAGCGCCAAAAGGGCAACCAAAGCTGCCAGCGTTCCCATAACCACTGGGAGAGTCGTGGTAGAACTTGGAGTTTCTTCAACTGAAATTAAAGCAGAAGATAAAGGCTTATGATTGAGGTTTTCATCATCTGAATACCCTTCGCAAAGGGAAAAATAAACCAATTTCCCTTTGACACGTGCGTTTGTGTTGATAAAGCAAAACTACAATGGCTAGAATAAAATTTATCTTCTCCTTCCTCGCCAACTATTTATCATATCTGCAATTGTTTTCTTTCTTGAGGAAGCAGGAAATGTCATTCCATTATTTAAATACAGCTTATTGCATTTTTAAATTTTTCTTACAATAAACATTTGTACAGAATAAACCCTCCAAGGAAGTGTGTGTGACTACTTTTGTGAGTTAGAAACTCATTTGTAACTGCATACTAAAATGGTATCTGGTGAACTGCAAAATATGCAACCCTCAGGTGGAGAATTTCTGCCATTGTCTCTACCTTTTTTATAGGATGATAAATGTGCAAGACAGATCAGATGGGTTATTATAGCAGGAGGCATTCAGTAGCACGAACGGATAAAATTTGTACCCATTTAGATAGTTGTGAATAAAATCTGAATCTTCCACATGATAAATCCAATCCTCTACTCAAATGTATTTTATAATCATTCTTCCATAAAAGTAATGGATTTATTTCTAGTATATTTATGCTTATTTGTCATTTCTTTTAAAGTTATATTAACCTTGGACAACTGTTCTTAAATTCAGTTTCTCTGCATTGGGTTCTTCTTCTATACCCTACACTTATCTAAAAGGAGATTCTCCTTCTTTGCCTTCAGTCCCACAGAGGGCTCTGACCCATCCTGGTGGGATTCATCAAATAGGATTTTAATTCGTCTCCTTTTGCTATAATCCAGCAAAGTCTGTTGCCAGTCTCAGCTTCTTAAAACAGATTTTGACTCTGCCTTTCTTTGTTCAGGAACCAAATATGACTGCATTTTGCCATTGTCCAAACTCCCCTGCCTAGCTTTTTCAAAAGTAGTAGTATTTTTTTAATTGTGGTAAAATACACATAACATATATCTTACCATTTTAGCCATTTTTAAGTATACAGTTCTGTGACAGTAAGTACATTCATATTGTTATGCAGTTATCACCACCACCCATCCACAGAACTTTTTCATCTTGCAGAACAAAAATAGGAACTCACTCACCTCCCATCTCCCCAGACCCTGGTGAGCACCATTCCACTTTCTGTCTCTATGAACGTGACTACTCTTGATACTTCATAGAAGTGGAATCATACAATGCTTGGTCTTTTGCACTGATTTACTTAACTTGGCATACTGTCTTCAAGATTCATTCATGCTGTAGCATGTGACAGGATTTCCTTCCTTTTTTAAGGCTGAATAATACTCCATTGTATGGACGTACCACTTTTTATTTATCCATTCACCCATCAGTGAATACTTGGGTTGTTTCCACCTTACGTCTACTGTGAATAAAGCTGCTATGAACAGAGGTGTACAGGTATCTGTTTGAGTACTTGCTTTCATTGTGGTATATACCCAGAAGCAGATATGCTGGATCATGTGGTAATTCTGTTTAATTATTTGAGGAGCTGCCATATTGTTTTCCACAGAGTCTATGCCAGTTTACATTTCAGCCAGCAGTGCACAAGGTTCCCAATTTCCCCACATCCCAATCAATACTTGTTTGTTATTCTCTGCTTTTTTTGGTAGTAGCTATCCTAATGGTTATAAAGTGGTATCTAATTGTGGTTTTTGCCTATCTTTTAAAGCCCTAGGTAATCAGGTCCTTCTCACAGATCCAACTTTATTTTTTTTTTTTAACTATTCAATACTCATTTTTTAATTGAATTTATTGGGGTGACATTGGTTAATAAAATTATATAGGTTTCATGTGTACATCACAGACCCAACTTTAATTCCCCATAATCTTCCACCCAAACCTTCTACTACAACCAGGCTTTCTTCTCACAGTTGTCTATCTAGACTACATGTGCCTTTCACAGTACTGATCCCTGGTCTTTTCAATGTAAAATGCTGCCTTCTTTCTTCCTCTGCTACCCAAGATCTGCCATCTCTTTGAATCTAGCTCAAGACCTATATCCTTTTCCAAATCCTTCATTCCCTTCTCCAACTGTCGGTTACAGTTATGTTCCCCCAGACAAGATTGTAAACTTATTTGTCAGACCAATAAATGAACATGAATGTGTATCTTCTAGTGTGTTAATGCATTTAGGGCATATTTAGTCTCTCAGTCTATACCTGTTAATTGACTGATTTCAGAGATGGAAACATAGTCAAAATGCACATTGCAAACTTTTTGGTTATTATTATGTTTAGTCCCTGAGAAAAGGAAAAGAAGTTTCAAAGAGATATCCTCAGCTGCCCAAAGAAATAAAATTTCAAATCGGTAGGGAACACAAGCAGCAGTCGATGCAGAGCTAGAAGGAAAAGCAGAGGACAGTTTCTGGGACCTGAAAGACACTGAAGCCAAAGAGACAGATGCGAGCTGAAACTGTCCTGATTACTTTGTAGATTGAGATTTAGTGAAGATGAAATAGATACAAATGGGAAGAGCCACTGGCAGAGGGACTATGTATTTTTTGACTTCTTGACAAATTAAGATTTTTTCTTGTTCTAGTTTCTTTTCTCAATCTGTTTTAAGATTCTTTTCTTAATAAGGTATAATTGACATACTATATTAGCTTTGGATGTACAACATAATGATTTAATATTTGTATATACTGCAAACTAAGATTCTTTAATGGCACATGGAGCTATATTAGGGCCTGAGCAAGTTAAAAAAAAAATGTGTGCCCCTATGTAAACTTATCAAAATATCCTCTCATATTTTGAACCAAGTGGGAAAAGCTAATAAAGAATCTACAATTTAAAAACATGACTTAAAGACATTAGTTTATAAAACATATACATGAAGTTCCATGTGGTCCAATCTGTTGGCAGGCGATTGTCAGCTTTGCAAACCCGCCCATAAGGGGTGGTATGGGAAAATTGGAAAAAATAGTCTAGTTACAAAATAATGCAGGGATATAAAACAAACAACAGCCTGTCTTATTTAAAATTTTGATAATGAATTCATCAAAGATTTTTTGAATTAATTGTTTTAAAATATTGTATTATCTCTTTACTTATCTAGATTGCTAAACTCTTTGGCCTCCCCTTGATCTTTGCTCTCCAAACAAGTGCTGTACTTGCCTCACCCTAAACCCAACCTTGCCTTTCAGTAATGATCGCCTGTAAGTCCCTGTCCACATGAGGCTAATGCATTTTGACTTTACTCGTTAAACAGTTCAAAGTATGGCCAGCTTCCGATTAATTCAGACAAAATTGTCAAATCAAGTGTAGGAGTAGATACTTCCTCTGTGGAATAAGGTCTCTTAACAACTTTCAGTTTTCTAAAACAACAGTCATCCAATCAGTTCCTTTTCTGATGTTTAATGAGTTCTTTAAAGGCTCATTTTACTAAATATATGTATCCTAGAAAATTGCCAATAAACTTAACAAGACCTGAATGCTTCAATTTAAGGCCTTGGTTCACATTTTTAAAAGAGAGAGAAGGAAAGAAAGCTCCTTTAAAAGATCAGTGAATCACCCATTTAGAAGTTGTATTAGTTACCTGGCAGGTCAATGGCGTAGTTGTAGCCAAGCTGGTCTGCGGTTTTAAAGAATTCCTGATTAGTCACCGAAGGAAAGAAAGGAACCATGTTGTACATCCGGTTGTGACCAATGGGTGCCAGCTCCTGAGGCCAAGCATCTACAGAAGGATTAAATCTTCTCATCCACTCATCAAAAATGGCATCAGTAAAGGAATGGAGGACCTGCAAGACAGGTGATCACGACGTTTAACATTTATCAGACTGTTTCAGTTAGATCGATCTGATTGGAGCTTTCTCTAATATGGAACAGGGTTCTTCTTGACACTAACAATTCTGTATACCCAATCTAATATCAGTGACATGTCCACTGGCGTTTTTAGTTAAGTTTCCAAGAATGTATGACATAAATCTCCAAACAGGATTACAAATCCCTTTGTCAAGTGAACAAATGGAGGTTCTGTTGCAGATTTAATATTGGTTTGGGAACATTTGAGGCCTTCCACTAGTGCTGGTTAATGATTAAGTTCAAAAAAAAGGCGAGGAAGGTGAGGTGTATGGTCTAGTCATTTTCCAAGTGCTTTTGCTTTAACAGGAGAGAAAGAGGAGGTTGTGTTTACCAGTATTGTAATACAAATGGACAGTTCAAAAAATATATCCAAATGGGTTTTCAATTTTTTTCTCACCTGGAGTACCCTTCTGTGTACTCATTTTATAACCCTCTCGTGTGAATTTTCGGCATTGTGCCAGCAAAAGAAAGTCTAAAAATGTTATAATGAACATAGTGCTCATTTTAATTTTCTCAAGGAAGCTGTTAAAGTCCTTAAATACAGAAATTATTACATGTTTTAAAATTCCAACAGCAAGATTTACACATAGATAGCCCTGATTCCACAGCAGGATGTACATGTGAGTTCAGCTGAGGTTTTATGCCTGGTCATTAGAGTTCCCCTTTCATTCCTAGATGGTAAGTTCAAGGAGCTCAGAGGCACTGTCTGCTTTTCTTTCCTCTGTGTTCCCAGTGCCTGTCATCCCAGGCCTGTCACATGGGAGAGGAAGATGCTTATTTCAACAAATACTTATTAATAAATTTATTCATCCATTCACCACTGTTACTTATACCCCAAACGTAGCACTGGACAAACTATATTATAACTTGTTTTTTATTTACCTATTCACCCTAACAAGACCCCTAACTCCTAAATGTCAGAGATAAGGTCTTTTCACCTTTGAAGCCTTAAGCTTAGCACGCAACCTGGGCAGAGTTGATGCTAAGTATTTGTTGGCCAATGACAGTGACAGGCAAAGTAGTTATATTTTTTGTACAATTCACAGGCACCTTTCTAGCTGATCTGCAAAGTCATTCCGTCTGTTTTCTGGCATCACAGTCTTTCAAGGACAAACAAACTCAATGGTTCAGGCACATCTTCCCTGATTGCCCCCGGTCTGAATTCTTTGCTCTTTGCACTTCTTAACCCCTTTAATTATATTGCCCTTCTGGCTTATATTGCTGTTGTTTATTCAGAAGATAACATTTTCATATCTTACCCTAAGTTCCTTGCAGTTTAGTTGCCCCTGTCAGGCAACAGCAGGGGCTTTCTAGCTGCATTGTCTCAAGGGGCTGCGTTCGGGATAGTAACAGGAATCAAGTGATTTACTGAAGGGAATTTGTTGTCATGAATAGATTTTTAAAGTTTATGGCAGAGACAATCATCTTAAAAACCAAAATATCAAATTATAAGACCTGGGATTTTAGAGAGATAAAAGATTTCTGAATTCTAAAGTCTTGGCTTTGAGTGACAAAATTTACACCCCAAAAGGATAAAGGCATAGATTATTGTGAAAGCAACATCTTTGGAAGAATACTTAATAATGCAAGTGATCAGTGTTTCTCACAAGTAGATTTCAAAAAGAGTCATCTTTGAGGAGGGTCATCATCCCTGGGAAAGGAGCTAAGCATTTGTTGGTGTGTGTCCCTGAAAAAGGTACCACATGGCCTGTATCCTGGAACATCCAGAGAGGGCTAGGAGTTTCCCAGAGAGGGAAGGTACGCGTCACCTTCCGGCTGTGGCCTGGGGAGCCTGCCAGCCTCAAAAGGAAGTTTTGCCTCATGCATGGAGCCCAAGCCCTGCAGGGGGAATGTCTCGGGGAGGCAAACACTGTTGGCTGCTTACCCAACGCTCATTCCCTTCTTTCTCTCCAGTAACTTCCTTTGTATATTGAGTGAAGCAATATGCCAAATTATCCGTGAGATTTAATTGGAAGTCGTTGGATGGGACTTCTAGGGAAGTTCTTTGAAGGTGGCTGTTTCAGGTTAAATGTCCCTTTCTCCCTTTCCGTCTCTTCTTGCTGCTTCCTGGAATGTGGATGTGATGGCCAGAGCTGCAGCAGCCACCTTCAGAGCCAACAACCAAGTTAAGAAAAGAAGCCACTCGCCAAGGATGGTGGAGCAAACAGACAGAAAGTGTCCACCATGACTGGAGATACTATACCAGCCTGGACTGCCTGCCACTGGAGCTCTTCCACATAAGAGAAAAATAAACTTATTTTTTGTTTAGGTTTCTGCAATTTGGGTTTTCTGTCCTAAGCAGCTGAAGCAAATCTTAAGTGATACACGGAAAAAGTATCTAAGGGCTGTACCAGAATGTATTTTCCAAAGAAGTCCATACAATATTTCTTGAACTTGATGATACTGTCTGAATTCAAGTCAGAAATCAAATTGTGATTAGAAAAAAAGACAAGAGACTCTCAGGACATAGAAAGATCCAGATTTAGGGCTGAAAGAGGCAAATAACTTTTGGAAAGTACCAGAATTCACCCAGTACAGAGTGTAAATAATAAAGAAGGAGACAAGACTCTTAAAGCAATTGACAGTGTGAAGAGATAAAAGAACAGGAAAAGTAATAGGGAGAGATTACAGGTCTCAGAGGGCTATAAAACATTATACAATAAATGCTCTGGAAGGAACTCTATATAAAGTACCCAATTTATAGAATGTAGTTTAAAAAAAGGTGTAGTGTGTGCCAAGAAAATGCAAAGAATGCAATAAACAAAATACTGGAAGCAATAACATATCCACGGGCTAGAAAGAGAAGTAATACAACCTGTAGAATAGGTATTTTTGTAAAAGTTGTGAACATTGTTCCTAAACAATATACTTTGAATTGCTCTTGAGAAACTAATGGTACCTTGGTTAGACACAAGTTGAAAATGAACTCAGATAATCTCTCTGTAAAGGCTAAATATAATTTTACAAAAAAAAGCAAAAGTAAAATAAAACTATGCTGTTGTTGCCTTATTTCTGTCATAGAGATACGTAGTTATATTTTGGTATTAAAAATAGAGTGCTTCAGAAATGAAGTTACAAATTTTGGTATATGAACCTATTCTATCTTTTCCCAACAAAATAAACGTAGATACAGGAAGAAGAAAAAAACACTAAATTTCAACTTGGAGAAATTTCTTCAACTATTGAAGAAAATGTAATTATACGAGCTTTCAAGGTAAAAAAATTTAAATGTAACCCTTGCAGAGGAAAGTAATCAATCAACAAATATTGTGCTTACAGGCATAAAGAAACTTAACAAATTATAGAGAATGCATGCATATCTTTTTCATGATCATTGGAGGATAAAGTTACTTTCAAACTTAACCTTAACTCAGATGGTTGCAAATTCAGAATCTTGCCACGCTGGTGACATGACAAGAGTATTTGCATTTGGGGGAGCAGCACCAGCACGTGGGTGTTCATCATTTGGGTGCATGTGTGCTATCCAGAGACGCCGTTCAGTTCAGAGTGGCTCTTACTGTGGTAACGTGATAATGCTCTGGTCCTCTGAGAACTGATATGTGAGCACCTAAAGGTCATAAGAGAGACACACAGTTCCCTATGGGAAGTTCCAACTTAAAACTTCAGGTAGAAGGCATAATTAAAAAGTTGGGTCTGAATTCCTAACTAAGAGATTCCTAATGGTAATTCTTAAAAAATCATATTTAACCGTGCTTGTTATTTTATGGTAATATTTATTTATTTTTGCCTTGTTCTACCAAGGATTTGAAGCAGTGCGTAATCGGGATGTTGCATTTACATTTTCCTAAATAGTGGGGGGGAAGGCATGGGGGACTTAAACAACACCCAAGCTTCCACTGAGCTACCTAAGCTCTGCCACAGGGAGGTGTGCACTCCATACACAGCACAGTTGGTGAGACAGGAAACCATCGTAGAAAAAAGGACATTTGAGCAAGAATAGTCTTCTGGGCAGTGTGTAGCCACGATGAGGGGCTTCCCATTTTACTATACAGCAGGTCCTCGAAATGGTGTTTCATTCATCATTTTGTTATAAGATTAGTAAAAAAACAAATTAATTCCCAGCCGAGGCCACTGTCTGTGTGCAGTCTGCACATTCTCTCCACGTCTGCGTGGCTTTTCTTTGGGGACTTCGGTTTCCTCCCACATCCCAAAGATGTGCCTGGGAGGTGGACCGGTGTGTCTGCGTATCCCCATCTGAGTGGGTGCGGGTGTGTGCGTGAGTGTGCTCAGCGACGGAAGGGGGCCTGCCCCGGGTGGGTGCCTGCCTGGGCCCGGAGCCGCCGGAGAGGCTCCGCCCACCGGAGGCCCTGAACTGGAATCGGCAAGTTAACTTCTTATCCATCTTTCTTAAGTGTATGAATAGCTCACATTTATTTCCATATTTTATATTAGGAGCACTTGGGGTCTTTATTTAGAAGTTTGGTGATGTTTTTATGACCAGAAATATGCCATAGGAACTTTACTCTTGTTTTTATCAATTAGCCTATGTTAAAATTGGTTCTGGCCCGGCTGGGCGTGGCTCAGCGGTTGAGCATTGACCTGGGATCCAGGCGATCAGCGTTCGATTCCCGGTCAGGGCACATGCCTGGGTTGCGGGCTCGATCAATGACTCTCTCATCATTGATGTTTCTGTCTCTCTCTCTCCCTCTCCTTTCCTCTCTCTGAAATCAATAAAGATATATAAAAAAAAAGAGAGAACACCAAAAAATTGGTTCTGTTACAGGTTGTTTCACTCAAAGTCACACTTTCCAAGAACCCATTGATGACATTAAGTGAGGTCTTATCCTTCCCTATCCACCCTGCATCCTGAGCAGACAGAGTAGGAGGCATTTTTCAGGCATTTTGCAGGAGTTATATAAGTAGGGAAAACACACTTTCTCCATATATTAGTTTAATAGTACTGCAATAAAAATGT